TGTTGATCCCGAAATGACCTAGTTTGTGTCGAGTGGACGTTAAACCCAATCTCTCCCCCCCCCCTCTCTCTCTCTCTCTCTCTCTCTAGACTTGGTGAATTTTCTCGCCAGTTCAGCAGCATTCTAGCCCGATTAACAAAAACATTACACATGAAAATTGATTCCAAAGATCGCGAAGATAGTGGGAACATGTCCCAAGTCGATGATATGATTTTTATCTATTCCACGAGTAATGTTCCTGATTTTTGTGGGCACATCTTGATATCAAAAACACAAGATTTATGGATTCCGCCGAAAAAGAATTAGATTTTATTTTCCGATCTATTAAAACCAAAGATTTTATCCGAGTCAATTTTAATGAAATGAAACATTTGAGCCGAATTTTGTTACGATGAGATGGAAACAAAATCGAAATTGAAATTGATAGAAGACATCGACATCATATTGAGCTTAACATCCGCTTTCTCCCAGGGTGTCATCGCAGACAAGTGTTTCCTTGGAAACTTGCGAGAAGAGCCCGTTTAGCGTAGGTTGGTGATAGATGAGCGATTAAGAAATTTTACCGCTTCCATTTCCTCATACTGCACACAGCGATGCATCTACTTCATACTCTCAGGCGGAGCTAACTGTAGACTAGCTACAATTAAATGTATCGTTAAATTGTGTTTAACGCTACAAATGATACAGTCTAAGATTCAATACGCAAGTTCAAATAGGTTCAAACAAATATCATTACAGTTTGTATTGAAATAAGTAATTCTATCACAAATAGTGAAGACTGGACCACTAAAATAGTTACCGAACAGTTTGTTCGTTGTGGTAATGCGTTCTTCATTTTTAAATCCATGTTTCTTATAATTTGAAAGCCGCCATGACACCGGCCAGTTGAAATAAGTTCGGTAGGCGAGAAATACGCGTAGCAGTTGGGTTTCATATCATTATGCGGTAAGGCGTCACCTTAATTTCAATGAGAATTGGTTTATTATTATGTTAAGCTATGTGCAGTACAGTTTTGGGTCAGTTTATGTGTAAATTAAGGGAGCTATAGGCCAGTAACCTTTTTGTAGTCATTTGACTAAAAAACTTACGCAAAGGAACTCCGTAGAACGAGTCACTGCTGTGGCTGGAGTAAGGTGGAAGACATCAGTAGTGGAACCATTTTTAACTGTAGACAGGCAGCCTAAGTTTGGGATGTCATTTCCTTGGTTAAAGGGGGATCACGGTGGCTAAGTGGGTAAGACGCTGGCTCGCTAGCCTGGAGGTCGGGTGTTCGATGCCTGCATTGGCCGAGAAAGTTCATTCAGATGGAGGGCTTGACAAGGACAGCTGTCTAGTCGTTCGGATGGGACGAAAACCGAGGTCCCGTGTACTCATTGGCATGCACGTAAAAGATCCCTTGGCAGTTGGAATTCGATATAAGAGTAGGCCGTAGCGCCGCTGCCCGGGCAAAATTTCCCTCATAGCACACTGTATGGCGTATACCCGTCTTCATTAGCCCAGGTTAGGAGCAGAACAGTAGAACGATAAACCCCATTTCGTTTCATTTTATTTCCTTGTGGATTACAGTAGCCAAGTGTTAAAGGCACAGTCGTACCTTGTGGATTATACAGAACTAGTTACACACGTTGGTGTCACTCATTATCACATATGAGATAGAACTGGTTAAACACGTTCCAAATCTAATTCTAACACAAAGATCATTGCTGCGATAGATGCGTAATGAAGATTTCAAGAAACGGAAGTGACGTAAGCAAAAGAAAAACACGAGTTATCCTTCTATATAACTGACTGAATCGGCGAGTAATAACAGATACTCGGGCGAATTTCTGCACACTAATAATTCCTTATGAAGAGCAAACGTTGTTATATGAGACTATGAGGGGATATCTGACAATTAAAAAAATTACCTGAATGTCACTAGAGAAAACGAGAAAAATGGAAATAGTCCGTACATTCCGTTTCTTGAAATCTTCATTACGCATCTATCGTAGCAATCATCTCTGGAACGTGTTTAACCAGTTCTATCACATAGGTGAAAATGACTGACACCAATATTGTCCTTTAATAACCATTCATAGGCCTCAACCAAAGGCGTTGCACCTGGGTACCGGCAGCATAAGGGTAGCACCTAATCTGGGTCGTTCATGAGATGACGTGTGTGCGATCTATAGAGGGCTGGATTCATGTTGGGGTTTTGTCCGGCTAAGAAGACATTGGACGTCTCTGATCTTTGTATAGTTTAGTCGGCAACAATCAACAGAGCTGCATTTATTCTCATATTTGACATTACTCAATCAATTACCTGTGCTAGGAATAAAATTGTCTTTAAACAGATTCCTTCATCACGTGGTTAGCACACTGGACTACCGATAAGAATGTTCCTGGTTCCGATATTATACGTTAGTCGGCAACCATCAGTTGCTCAGTCAATTGCAGGTGCTCGGAAAAAAATCTCCTTTAAAAAGATTAATAGTTTCCTGTGGTTAATTAGACAAGAATATTCATAACAAAACACAAGGGGGATATAACCACTTCTCTGTTATTTAATAACGACGTTTCGCAATATTCCTGGGAGAGGGGGGGGGGGGTTGGGTTAACGTCCACTCGACATAATCTAGATCATTTCAGGACTAACATATGGTTCAATTCTATTTTAAAAATTCGCTTGCGCGTAGGGTCTTTAGAAGTGGGAGGAAACTAGGGAACCCGGAAAAAACCCTACAAGGTTGGACAGGCAACCCTACTCCTTGTCACGTACAAACAGGGAATCGAAACCATGCCACTTGATTTAATAACAAAACTTATGATGCAACGCGCACGCGTTAACCATTCGGCCACCCACACCCTTGTTGAAAAGGAATCAGTTACATATTATGTTTATCTTTATAAAACCGGGTGCCGGTGAAAGAGAGCCGCGGCCGCTCCCGGTGTTGGTTAGTGAAATGCCCCCCCCCCCCGACTTCCCAGTGTGGTTTCCACGTGTCAGTGATGCAGGACGGAGGGCCTGCCAGGGGCAGCTGTTTAATCATTAGGATGGGACGAAAAACCGAGGTCCCGTGTACATATTAGCATGACAATTTGAATTAGATATAAGAATAGGCCGTAGCGCCGATGTTCGGGCCAAATTTACCTAATAACACACAGAATGGCATATTCCCGTCTTCATTACTATAGTCCAGTCGCTGTATAAAAGTAGGACGTTAAACCCCATTTTATTTCCTTTCTGTGCCGGAGAACCTTTCAGCAATCCAACTGTGTATTACTAGTATACTGATTAGGTCGTGGAATAGGTTAGGTGTAATCACAGCATCAGTATAATTAAAATACAAATCTATATTTCGTTTCGTTTTTTATACTTTCGAAAGCCTACACTACACGTGTAGTAAAGACATGTAAAACGAAATTTTGAACTATAGAAACGAAACGAAATAGGATCTGTGTTTTAATCAGATGGTCACAGCATGTATGGTTGGGAAGAGAGAGAGAGAGAGAGAGAGAGAGAAATGGGGTTTAACGTCCACTCGACACAAACTAGGTCATTTCGGGACTAACATATGGTTTAATTTTATTTCAATAATTCGCTTGCTCGTAGGGGTCTTTAGCAGTGGGAGGAAACCGGAGAACCCGGAGAAAACCCACGAGGTTGGACAGGCGACCCTACTCCTTGTCACGTACAACCGGGGATTCGAAACCACGCCAGTCAACTCAATGACAGACTTTATGATACAGCGCGCGCACGCTAACCATTCAGCCATCCAACCCCCCGTATGGTTGGGAAAACTTTATATCAAATGAAATAAAATAAAATGGGTTTAACGTGTGTGCGTTAGTTGTATTTTACGTCCGCTTCCACCGAGGTGATATCGCAGACAAGGGTTTAACGTCCTCTTACTGACTTTTTATAGGGACAATGTAAAGAGAGAGAATTATTGAAATAAAATTAATCCATATGTTAGTCAGGAAATGACCTAGTTTTTGTCAAGTGGACGTTAAACCCCATTTCCCTCTCTCGTCTTCCACATGTTCGAATTAAGAGTGGGCCGTAGCGCCGCGTGCAGGCAACAATTCCCCCATAGCAAACTCCATAGCGTATCCGGTTTCATATTCCCATAAAATTTTAATTTATATTCTAAAATAAGTAGGGGGGTTGGATGGCCGAATGGTTAGTACGTGCGCGCTGCATCATAAGGTCTGGCATTGAGTCAACTGGCGTGGTTGCGATTCTCCGGTTGTACGTGACAAGGAGTAGGGACGCCTATCCAACCTCGTGGGTTTTCTCTGGGTCCTCTGGTTTGCTCCACTGCTAAACACCGCTACCTAGCGAATTATTGAAGTAAAACTGTACCATATGTTAGTCCTGAAATGACCTAGTTGTTGAGTGGACGTTATAACCCCTCCCTCTCTCTCTCTCTATCTCTCTCTCTCTCTAAAATAAGTAATTGTGTGAACATATTGACCAGTGGCGAAAAAAAAGATTTGTTTTTTTTCACTTAGATTTTAGGTTTTTAGTCGCAGTTACTATAAAAAAAAATTCTGATGATTGCAATTTACGTAAACAAAAAAAAAAAAATTTCAAGTAAATATTTGCTAGAACATTATATAGAAAATGACACGCAGGCACCATTCCTGGTTTTTATTTTGAAAGCAATTCTTGCCGCGGTTCAGCACACTTGATTAGGTCTGCAATTCTTCACGCATTTTACGAGCGCGCTCTCGATACCCACACCAAAATATTGAACCATTCTGTCTTAGACTTTCTATGATCTTTAGTTGTAGGCTATTATCCTACATAAATACGTGCCTGGATTCTGTATCCGGTTCTAAATGTGAATAATAACATCAGATGTAAGAGTTAGACATTGTACAAATAAATCATAATCCTTTATAAAAGACGCTCGTGTACCAAATGGCGTGACGTCATTAGCCGTCTGCAACTTTAAGCGGGAACTAGCAGACGATATCTTGGTGTGAACTCCGAAGGTTTGGCAGAAGTGGCGAAACCGTCAGCGATGCAGGAACTGTAGGATTCCAGTCGCCCTCGGCTATCTTTTCTATCCATTCTTCTGTTCGTTCAAGTAATGCTAGACAAAATCGAAGGCAATCAGCGAAATATATTGAATTTAAAATGGAAAACGTGTTGATTTAAGGGATTAAGTTATTGATACGACAAAGAATACAGGCGTTAAATATGAACAACTGTCAGATCGAATTTGTCTGGGGTAAGTAGAAACAGATAATTCCATGCTAGTTATTTCTATTCTGTATAATAGTTCGTTAGGTTCGAGGAATATTTGAGGAGCTTAACAGACCAAACCAACCAGGGGTGTATGTATAGATGCGTAACAGACCGAAGCAACCAGGGGTGTATCAATAGTCTATCGTTCGTATGAATAATATGACACTCTAAGAGAAATAATACAGTGCGAGGTTTTAAAAGTTTTTACTTTTATGATAGCCTAGATGAAGAATGAATGACTGTGCGCAAGATAAGCGACATTTTATTGAATGATTTTGGTTGATTTGTGAATTCTATTTTTTACGGTATTCCAAATCATAATAACATGAAATGATGAAAGTATGTTTTGTTTTAAGAATGTATTTTATATTTTAAGTATGGGTTTTATATTTTATTTTTTTTTATTTTAAAGGCTTAATACGTAATACCACTCTTGTTGTAACTGAATAATATGTCCCAATCTTTATTCTGGTCAACAAATTGCACTATTTTAGAATACTCCAATTCATTGATGATACAAATTTCATCTTAACACACCTAATTTGAAAAATTGGAAAAATTCAACTAAATGATTTGAAAAGCCTGACGTAAAGATTTTCAAATGTGACTTGGATTTAAAAATATTTTTGAACCCTCTGGACAAGTAAAATAGGATTTAATGGATTATTTACACAACAGGTAGGACACTAACACATCTAGTACTTAGAATAAGGCTATTTTTTATTTTCTGGAGCTGTCAAGCCAGCAAGAGTGTTATTGTCCTTTTAAGAATGTTCACTAGAAAATAAGCCTGTTTTAGATACAAATGCTTTTATATGATTCAATTCAACTGAGTAAATTTATTGTTACTGCATCACAAATCATGTGGAAGAGATGTAATGATAAAGGTTTTTACTCCCTGGGGTAAGGAACTAGTGAAGTGGGGGCTGGGGGGTCAAAGGGAGTAGGGATGTATGTAATACCTGGTAATTAAGGTTTTTATGTCCCAGGGGTAAGGAACTAGTAAAGTGGGGGTTGGAGGGTCAAAGGGAGTAGGAATGTATGTAATACCCGGTAATTAAGGTTTTTACTCCCAGGGGTAAGGAACTAGTGAAGTGGGGGCTGGAGGGTCAAAGGGAGTAGGGATGTATGTAATACCCGGTAATTAAGGTTTTTATGTCCCTGGGGTAAGGAACTAGTAAAGTTGGGAGAAGGGGGGTCTAAGGGAGTAGGGATGTAATGATTAAGGTTTTTACGTCCCAGGGGTAAGGAACTAGTAAGGTGGGGAGAAGGAGGGTCGAAGAGAGTAGGGATATAACAATTAAAGGTTTTTACATGCCTGGAGTAAAGAACTAGTGAAGTGGGGGTTGAAGGGAGTAGGGATAATAATTAAGGTTTTTACGCCCTCATTGAGAGGGAACTGATTGGTTGAGGGGAGGGTGATGCATACCAATATATTAACTGTGCAATGGGCTATGGACTTCTCATGGCAGCTCGACATTTTTGTTTTATTTATTTTACCTAACGATTTGGCGTGTTTCATCAAATTATTGGCACATCCCAGCACTAAATACACTGTACAAATATTATTATAATATCAGAAGAACATCACAACATGAATTAATAAACAATATTGTTATATTTATCTGCGAATATTTATATCGAGGCCAACAAATGAGCGACAACCAAGATGAGGATGGCATAAAAAAGGCAAAAAAATCTCTGAAAATAACAAGGTTTGATTTATGTATCAAACATTAATTATACATTTCCTATCTCCTGATTGAGGTATGGGTAGGCCTACTTGTTTATTAGCAGTGTCATCATTTTTATTATCTGCCAAGTTTTGGGAACTCATTAGATGCTTACGGCTGACACCCCTCCATGCCAATCCATTTATTTGATGCAGGGCTAGATTAACCATGAGCATGCCGCAAAATAAGCATGTGCTTAGGGCATCATGGTAATGGGGGAACCACTAAAAGTCTGCTTTGTTAGATCATAGTTAAATATTTGATTTAAAAATTAATTACGAATTCTTGATTAGTTTTTCATCTGTATCTGTTTTGTCGCAATTACAAATGACGTGTATAAAATCCCAGAAAAACTCTAATCAGGTGCTTGGTGGTTGTTTGTGCTTTATTATTATTTATATTTTGAACTGTCTGCTTTCTTAGATCATATTTAAATATTTGATTTGAAAATTAATTAAGAATTTTTCACTGTTACCTGTTGTGTATAAAATCCAAGAAAAACTCTAATCACATGCTTGGTGGTTGTTTGTGGTTTATTATATTCGGCATTCATGTTTGATGTGACTCCCAGTTTTGTGTCTCAATATTTCATTGTTGTTGAAGATTTTGTCTTACTCATTGGTTTTAATCTTAACCTGCTAACCCTGAATTTATAGGTTTTAATCTTAAATACCTGACGCTTACCCTAACCCTGATCCTAAAATGTGATGGAATGTAAAAGTGATGGAAACTGAAAAAAGAGTCGAATCAAACATGATCGCCTATTATTGTCAATATTTTGAACTACATATAGGGGGGCACCAAATTTTTTTATATGCTTATATATAGGGCCTCTGTGGGTCTTAATCCTGCCCTGACTTGATGTGATAATATTTGTGTCTTGTGAGGACATTTGATTTAATCTCTCTCTTTTTTCCTGATATTTTTGCGAACTTCGGAATTACAATTTTGATCATCAAATGCAGCCATTTAAACCAGAAAATAAGTTGAGGCTTTTGGATTTGTTCAAAATTATTATAAAATTCAAATTTCATCAAATCAAATGACTGAATGCATCAAACATGGTCAATTGGATGTTTCTATAGCCTACTGTCCATGATGGACGAGGCATCCTGTAAATTTGTCAGGTCTGATTTGAAATGACTGATGCAGCCAGAAATAAAATGTTTGATTACCTGCCAGTATCATTTGTATTCTTGTGATAGGCCTAGGGTCTCTTAATGCAGTACAGTATGGAATGGGCTCACTACCAGTAGGTCTGGTGTTCGATCCTAGTGTAGGCCGAGAAAGTTCCACAGAATTTTCCAGCATGGTTACCCCTTTTCTGTTCATTCAATGGGACAAAAAACAAGGACTTAAAGGTCCTGTGTACATGTTGGCATACACATTAAAAATATCTTGATTGTTAGAATTCAAAATTAGAATCGGCTGTATGGCGTATGCCCTTCTTCATTAAACCTAGTCGGGCTAAATATGCAAAATTGTAAGGTGTTCCTATTTTTATTACGTGCAGATTTGAATATTTTGTTTGCATTTTATAAAGAAAAAAATGATTCTTATTCAGGAAGTTCTGCATTCATTTGCTGCCGTATAAACGAAGACACATAATTTTGCAGGAATATTAGGCCTACTACATGTATTGCGAATTTGATGCTGAAGCAGGATCGGCAAGCTTTCATTCAATGTATTACGAAAATGAGTTATTTTGTAGGATTGTTACTGACATAAATTTGAATACCGTACGGGAATTAAATATAAAAATTAGAGAGGTTCACCTATTTTTATTACGTACAGGATTTGAATATTTTGTTGACACATGATTTTTAATTGGGGTATGAATCCGTCTGCTTAAATAATGATAAGAGTTATGCCCCTTTATTTTCGGTAAAATGTCTGACAAGAAATATTTTGAAATCCCATCACTGGTCAAACCCCATTTCATTTCTTTGCAGTACATTAACGCTAGGTTTTAAATGTTTAATGTTGACTCCAACATCAAATTTGTTTGTCAGCATCTAAAAGTATTGGAGAGAGAGAGAGAGAGAGAGAGAAATGGGGTTTAACCTCCACTCGACACAAACTAGGTCATTTCGGGACTAACATATGGTTTAATTTTATTTACATAATTCGCTTGCGCGTAGGGGTCTTTAGCAGTGGGAGGAAACCGGAGGACCCAGGGAAAACCCACGAGGTTGGACAGGCAAAAGAATTGGAATCAATCCAAATTAGTAAATCTGTTATGTAAGTAGCTAAATGTTTCGAAAGATTAGTTAATCTAACATGTGACAGTAATTCTTGGCATAACGTTATTTTTGTACTAGACCTTGCTATTGTCAGCATGTGATCAGGGGCCTTTTTCACAAAATTTTAACTACCGGTAAGATAAAAGAGATGGGGTTTAACGTGCACTCGACACAATGTAGGTCATTTCGGGACTAACATATGGTTCAATTTTATTTCAATAATTTGCTTGTGCATAGGGGTCTTTTAACAGTGGGAGGAAACCGGAGGACCCAGAGAAAACCCACGAGGTTGGACAGGCAACCCTACTCCTTGTCACGTACAACTGACGAATAGAAACCACGTAAATTAACTCAATGAGAGACCTTACGATGTAGCACGCACACGCTTTCATTCGGCCATCCAACCCCTCTCTATTCAAAAAAACCTAATTGTCTTGACAAGCTGGCAACCTACTCATTGTCACGTACAACTGGGTAGGCTAATTGAAACCACACAATTTATCTCAATGAGAGACCTTATGATGCAGGCACACATGCTTCCATTTGACCATCCAACCCCTCTTTCTTGATTCAAAAAAAGTACATGTAATTGTCCAGCAATTGTCTTGACATGCTGGCAAAGAAATCTGGATACAGCAGGTGTATTCTAAATTACTAATTTTAATATCAGTGAAATTATTAATTTGTTTTTAATTAGTTATTCTTGTTGAAATAATGGAAATTGATTTATATATTAACTCACTGATTTATTTTATTTGAAAGAGTGTCATTTTCCAACAATTTTTAGATATTGTCAATGAATTATGCTTTCAGTGAAATTATTAATTTGTTTTTAATTAGTTATTCTTGTTGAAATAATGGAAATTGATTTATATATTAACTCACTAATTTATTTTATTTGAAAGAGTGTCATTTTCCAACAATTTTTAGATATTGGCAATGAATTATGCTTTCTGCACACAGAGATCCGTTTATTTCATTCCTCATGAATAGATTTCTGCCCTAAA